TGCCTGAATGGTGATCTGTGACCCGGTTCTTTAGCTCGGTGAGCCAGCGTGTGGAGCCAGCGTGTGGAGCCAGCGTCTGGAGACACTTGCAGCAGGCGCAGCAGAAATGTGTCTGTTCTGGGGACAGAGCTTCAGTCTCCAGTGTTGTAAGCTGGCCCCGTCACCAATGCTCCCCTCCTTTGGAAGACTGATTCAAACCAGAACCTGCCTGTAGGCATCTCGGATGCACCCGTTCTAAGCATTCTTCCGCCCCTTTCAGGAAAGGCCCGATCCGAGCGCCGGAGCACCTGAGGGCCACCGTGCGGTGGGACTATCAGCCCGACATCTGTAAAGACTACAAGGAAACGGGCTTCTGTGGCTTTGGAGGTGAACGTCCCTTTCCCTTTCCACAGCACCCATGTCCCATCCTGAGTTCCAAACTAACTAGCTAGCCCCTTTTTAAGAAGAACGTCCAGGCAGGCGCAAGTTCTCCAGACACTGTGCCAGACTCACAAAGCGGCTTCAATCCAGGCAAACGCTTGTAGAGGCAAACGGCAGCATTTAATGGCTAATGACCTGAACTTGCAGGTCCTTGAGTAGAGGATGTCTCCGGATCTCAGCAGGACGTTTCTGGAGGATGGCCACAGACTTCAGGCAGCCTGACTCTGTTTATGTAGTGCCGTAAATGCACAAGGCGCTGGGTCCAAGGCAATTGATTTCTATAACTTGAAATACTGTAATCACCTTGCTAGGTGGCTCTTACCCTAGGGATCTCGGCATGCTTCTAAAATAAAAGATGTGCTGTAGAAAGAAGATGAACCTGTCCATTCAGTGGGTATTATTGACAGGGGTGACTAAGGGCGCATGGGCGTGTGGTTACAGCTTTGGACTGGAGTCGGAGATCTAGAGTCTATTTCCAACTCTACCATTGAGTGTCCCTCTGTAACCTTGGGAAAGTCTCCCTCTGGCAGGCAAATAAGAGAGTATGTGAGGGGATGTGCTCCGCCCATTCCTTAGTGTTTGTGTGTCCCATGACGGGGTGAGGGTTACATGTTGGATGTGACGCTTGGTGCTTGGGAGCTCCATTGATCAGATCAAGATGCAAGCTAGGCTCTGTAGTCTCCATGGGCCACGCTCCTGCATTAAACAGGATGGGGGATTGCACTCTGATAAGTTACACCTCTCCTGGGCAAAGAGGGGTTGCAGGTCTGGACTGAGGTGCATTGGCAGAGTGTGATGGGCCCCTGCAGTACAGCATCCGTTTATAAGCCACTTGCAAAAGGCGGTAACTGAAGAGTGGTGGGAGGGAATGCTAACTCCTTGTCTGTTTGTCCTACGGCAGACAGCTGTAAGTTCCTCCACGACCGCTCCGACTATAAACACGGCTGGCAGATTGAACGGGAACTGGACGAAGGACGCTACGGAGTCAACGGTACAATAGCGGCCCTCTCCTTTCTCTCCCTCAGCTCCGTTCTAATGAGGTCTTGCAGCGTTGGTATTTTAGAACGGGCTAGACTGAGGGCTCTCAGGTGATGAAGGGTAAAGGAGAAGTGATCTTCCCTGTCTCAAATGACATGCTAAATGGTGGGTCACAGGTTTAAGTTAAAGATAAAAAGGACAGTTCTTCATGGCAGCGGGTCACAAAACTGTGGAACTCCCTGTTGCAGGATTGTAGAACCCAGTCCTGCAGCTGGATTGCTATCTCCAGTAATTGCTGCTGGTATGAGAACTAAGAAAGGACTGAACAACTCTGCTGATTGCCACAGGGGCTGGAATGAATACCCCTTCCATGAGCAGCATTGCCAGTGGGCCAGGTTCATCTCCTGGGGGATGGGGACAGAGGAATTAGGCTTTCTTTGAAGTATCAGGTTTGCCCTAGTGCCAGAGGCAGACTGTGGCCAAGAAGAATTAATGGCCTGATCTGCTATGATAAATGCTGTGCTTTCTGAAAACTTCACCCCAGGTAGTCTTCCCCCTGAATGGGTATTGATCTGTTGTTGCTCATCGCCCAAGAACGAGCCATCTTCCAGCTTGTGGAGTGGGGTTGCTGTGACATCTCACTGCCTTCCAGCTGCACTTTCACATGTATTTCCCCATGGGAAACAGTGCTATTACTCGCCGCTACGCAGCTCAGATGGTGGCAGTTGCTGCGTCTCACAGCCACAGGCTGGGTCGTCCTTGTGAGCGGCCGCAGAAAATTCCAGGGGCCGTGTTATGTGTGAAGCTGTTGGGTTTGGTTCAGTGGCAGCTAGTCGGGGAGGAACACTAGGAAGGCGGCCTCGCTGGTGTCTGCTTATAGCAGTGAGTGGGCGAGGCAGAGGAACCTGCTCCTTGTGAGATGAGCAGCGAGCATGTTCGCTCATTAGACCTAATTATATCTCGTTCCCACGCAAGCTACTGACATCAGAGACGCCTCGCTGCCAGAGCTGGGTTATTTCTGGCCAAGGACCAGGCCCACCTGCTGTGTGCATCCTGCGCTGGGGGTAGTTCGTACTCGGGGCTATGGCGGGCTGACCTGGGTGCCCCGTTATCGCCTGACCATGGTTAATTGTTTTCTCTCCCGCAGATGAGGAAAACTATGAGGTGAGCAGCGATGACGAGGACCTGCCCTTCAAGTGTTTCATCTGCAGAAGCTCCTTCAAGAACCCCGTGGTTACCAAGTAAGCAGCCACCTCTGCTGCTGGGATGAGGACCCAAGCATCTGGCTTTTGGATCAGTCTCACTGAGTCCATCCCTCACTCTCCATGGCCACTGTTATTACCCACCTCAGGGTGACGCTGCATCTGGGCCTTTCAGTTCCTAGCTGCCTAGACCCTTCCCTGGCGTTTTTCTAGCACCGTCCCTCCAAGGCTCCCAAAATGCATTCATTGTCCATTGTAAAGCATGGCTTTTATCACCAGCCTTGAGATTTTTCATCCCAATGCTTTACCGGTGCTTCAGAAGCATCATTATCCCTACTGTACATATGGGGAAACCGAGGCACAAGGTGGTAAAGGGACTTGCTCAAGGTCAAAGAGTGATTTGGTGGCAGAGCTGGAAATAGAATCCAAGCGTCATGATGGGCATCCCACCCTACCATCCCGGCAGTGGTGAGCTGGGAGATCTTTGTGCCTGGATTGGGAGCCTCTCCTCTGATTTGACAAGGTCCTGTTAGCATGGCCAGGCTTCCATGTAGGACTCCTGGGAACAGTTCAGTCATACTCCCTGGCCTGGGATCTCTGCAGAAGCAGCGAACCCCGTTCCTGGGAGCAGGGGCAGCTCTCTTGGGTGTAGGGCCTTGTGCCTTGCTCTCATGCAGGAGGGCTGCAGCTGTTCCTAAGTCTCCAGGCTGTGGGATGTTCCCTCTGCTGCATTTGTACTGTAACAACCCCCCTCAGGCCAGGCCTTGCCGTAATGCCCTTCGCAGGTGCCTGCTGGCTGCTACGGGGCGGGGAGAACGCTAGCTGCTCTGTTCCCCCCACGGGTCCCAAGGGAGTGAACAGAGTCAAAGCCCTCCTGTCTCCAGGTGCCTCCCAGAGATGGTGACTTTGGGTCTATCTCCTGTGGGCACAGTCCTTTGTGGGAGACTTAACCTGGCCCCCTTGTTCCCTCCCGGCAGGTGCAGACACTACTTCTGCGAGGGCTGCGCCCTGGAGCACTACCGCAAATCCAAGCGCTGCTACGTGTGTGACCAGCAAACCAATGGTGTCTTCAACCCAGCCAAAGGTGCCTCACCCTTCCCACCCTGCCGGGATCACAGGCCTTTCTTTAATGCCAACCAGGGGTGGATGTTACTGCACTGGGGAGGGAGGGCTGTCTCCTCCTCTCCAGGTGGCGTGGCGTGGCTTGGCTTAGCACAGCCTGGATCACTCACCTTGCTAAACAGATCGGAAAATACAGATGCCCTAGTGAGTTGGGCTAAAGCTCTGAGCTGGTCTCCAGCCTCTATCTCCTTGCAAGAGCTGCATGCTCTTCCCCAGCGTACAGCTGGCCAAGTGGGGCCAGACGGGGCGCTCAGCAAGAGAGAGGGCCGGGAAGATCTTCTGATGGGCCGGATCCAGTTTTCCTCTTCTGCCTTGGGTGGGATGAGCTGGGCGGGGGAGCAGCCTGACTGGACACAGTAACCAAGAGCATCCAGAGGGTCAGTGCAGCACGTGCCTTTGGGTCACATTGCGGCAGGAGGTGGTGGAACGTCCTAGAAATCACGTTTCCCGCTGTCTGCTGGGGAATTACCCAGGAGCCACGAGGGCTAGAAGGGCGTGCGGCTGCTCCCACCTCTCGAGCCCTGCCTGAGCGATCGCAGCTGTCTGCCCGAGCCCGCCTCTTGCAGGCCCCAGCCCCGCTCCCAGTTGGCATTGTGCTGGTTCTTCCCGTGCCTGACACCTTGATGGCCCCTTCACCTTACTGGACCCTTGCCTGAGAGCGGAGCTGCAGTTCCAGGGCTCATTTCAACCCAGCTGCACCTCCCACTAGCCAACTCTACCCTCCATGGCTCCCTCTGGCCCTTAGCTGGCACTGAGAGCTATTTACGGTCGTCCTGGGGAGCCGCAGCCCTTGGGAAGCACAGGGCCTGTTCAGAGCCTCACCCCTGCTCCTCTTGTCTTTTGCAGAGCTAATGGCAAAGCTAGAAAAGCACAAGGGTGAGGAGTCGGATCCCTCGGAGCATGGAGATGAGCCACAGTAGCACAACTCTCTCCCCTGTTCTCCCTCCCACCCCCACCCCCACCCCTCAGGTTTTGTAATAGCCCAATAAAAGTTTATAGAAAAGACCTGTCCACGTTGGATTTTGCTCCGAGGAAATGGTCACAGGCAGGTGAGTAGCTTGTTAACCCACCCAGCAAGGATCACTAGGAGACCCCCTTGCGCTGAGCTGCCAGACTAGCTCCTTTAGCTGCCAGCGGCCCAGTGGTCTCTCCCACATGAAAGTGGGAGACGAAGAAGTGTCTCCCAGCCAGGCTAATGCACAACACAGCCTCCAGTCAGCTGCTAGAGAAAATGTGCCAACAGAGCCCTTGATAAGAATAACAGTGAGGCAAACTTTCCTGGGCTAGAAGGTGGTGGTGGGCGGGCTGAGGTGGCTCATGCATGCTGGGCTGTAGCATTCCCCCCACCCTCCATGCCTGTAGGACCACAGTGAGGCTATGTCCCCTCCACGCTGCAGCAAACAGCATTTTAAATCACACAATGAGTCGTCATAGTGAGACTCTCACTACAAGGAAGTCTTGGTTTGCCCAGTGAGCTTGACAAACAGCTACGTTACTCGTGGTCTCTGCTCCCTGCCAAGCATGAACGCAGAGAAGCTTCTGCCCCAGCTGGTCCTAGTGAGGTTTATTTAAATGGCGATGCCGCTAGGGTGAGTGACTGCACAGGAGCTAGGAGTTCTTGAGCTATTTTAGAGCAGGGGGAGGAGGCTAAACATATCTAGTAGAGCAGGCTGAAGGATGGGAAGAATTTCACAAGTGTGAAGGTGTTTCCAGTTCCCCGAGTTCAAAATGAAACTTTCCAAAACCTCAACCCCTTGAAAGGTCAGATGTTCCCCCCCCTTTCTGGCATCACCATGAAGGACGTCTAAAGGATTTTACTTTGTCCATTTCTCTTTCCCATCTTGCTTTTAAAAGAGGTGCCATTTATTTATTCACCCTGGTCTGCTGTGTGTGTAGCATTGATTGTGCCGGTTAGCACCCACCCCTATGCTCTGTCATATCCTCTGGGCTTTGCCCTCGGTGTACCTGTCTTTAAACCCTCCACAGCATGAGGGCGGGGTTCAGCTTTCCACATCAACCTCCTACATGTTGCTCACAACACTATACCAAAACATCCCAGCACTCCACTCTTCACGTCCTAAGTGCAGTGAATGGGAGCTCAGGCTGGATTTAATGTGATTGCTTAGCTGGCTCCAGCCCACTGTGCTAGAATTCCTTTGAGCATTTGAAATCTAAACTAAATTACAAGAGTAAAAGGGCATCCAATCAATCTTCTTCAGCTAGACCCGCTGTCACCGCCACAACCCACCAGGAGAAACTTCAGCTCACAGCTTAGTTGGGGGAGCTTTATGCCTCTGAAAACAAGGGTTGGGTATCCTAAGGTTTTCACCTTGACTGTGACAGTGACGTCATACACTGAGGGAGGGTGAAGCAGGGTGGATTTGTCATGCACAAAGGATTATTTCTGGCATTTACTAAACTAAAGAGCAGTTTAATAGGTGTAATTTCCTGGAGCTCTTTTGTTTCCCTAGGTATCATCCCAGGCTGTTTCTACATGTGGGTTGAAGAGCCTTTTCCCCCTCCTCCCTAAACCTGTTAAGAGTCTCAAGGCAGTGTCTTGATTTTCACGCTTCAAGACAGCCCCATGATAATACAGTAACAAGGGTCCCACTGTTAGTCATTAGCTAGAAGTTTTAGGTCTGCCTACTTCTGACGGCTACAACCGTACAACGGCCACTCCCATGGGGGGAAAACAGCCCTTTTAGTTCCACACAGCTTCAAATAAACCCCTTCCCTTCCTGCACTGTACTGCGACCCTGGCAGATGCCAGTCCTCGAGGTTAGAGCTGCACTGATTTCCTCCTGTAGCAAGCGCTTCCCGGGATTCATGCCCCAGGCCGGTGTTAGAGAAGGAAGCAGCCATTGTTTCAGACAACACTAAGCTGACCTCTGCCAAGTCTGGTCGGCCAGGTCCCCTTGCACTTTTTGCAGAAAGGGGGGCTCTGGATTGTCCTGGGCCCGTTCCAATTCATGTAATGACATTCTGCCTCTAAACTCCCACGCCCGCAGCTGCAGGTTCAGTGGTACTGGATTTGTTTCCTGTCCTTCACGCTGCTGTGTTGTTAAATGACTGCACTTCAGTGGTGGGCAAAGTGACCCTTTCCTAGTACTTTATCCAGCAAAGGTGAGGTGTTTAGACTGTGTAAAGTACCCAACCGAAGGTCTAAACAAAAATGAGAATCTCTCTTTTATAGCACTTCTCAGTATCTCTCACAGCGCTTTGCAAAGGAAGGTCAGTGTCACGGGCCTCATTTTAACATGGTTGCCACGTAGAAGGCAATATCCGCCCACTGCCTCTCATTGCAAGTTGCTCCTTCAGACCAAGACGATTCACGGATTAAGGCCAGAAGGGACCATCGCGATCATCTTGTGTGACGACCTGCATAACAGGCCAAGTCAGGCTGGTCAAGGAGGAGAGGGACCCTTCAGCATCTGCACAGAGCTAAGGAAATACAAGGAACGCTTCAGAAATACTTACATTTTTATTTGTTTTGGCAACAAAACTAGAGTAACAAACTTTATTCGGGTTCAAGTACAGTTTATAAACACAAAAAGGACTTGTTGCCAGCACCACTGCTCTCGGTGACCACCAGTACAGGACCGGATTCTCAGTGCTTCATTGAGAAGGAAGATCCATGATGCTTAGAAAGGATGAACAAAAGGCCTTAAAATGCAGTCTGGAGAACCGGACCCCCACACTGAAGGGAGAGCTGCCACAGCAGCAGAGGGTCTGCCCATGGCAGGGCACAGAGTTGCACAGAAAGCAGCACACAGAGAGCGAGCTCCCAACTTACCTTTCCCCCTCCCATGGTAGGTTCTCAGAAACAGAAGCTGGCCAGCACGTTTCATGTAGTGACATTAGCCTTGCTGCAGGAGGAGACCAGCCAGACAAATGGCATTTGTTGTAAAATATAGTATGGTGCCGTCTCAAAGACATTCAAAACTACATCTTACTTTTAAAAAATGCAGCTGGTGGCTGAGGTGGCTACATGAAGGGGCAGGAGCAGCTGGTTAGTCCCAGAAGCTCTTCTGACCTGCACGTCAGGGCATTCAGCACCACATGGCAAGAGTTTAAAAAAAACAACAACAAAGATCTACCCGTCTCCTTGAAGAGACGAATGCAGCCTTGCAGAGGAATCTCCAAGCCTCCGAGCATGGCTGGGATAGAAGGGGACACCTTTTTCCAGTGCTGTCTGGTCTTCCATTTTCCTCTCAATAAAGCAGCAGGCTACATCTGTTATTGCCAAAAGAGTGACCCCGTGAGAAGAATGCCACGGTGATAACCTGGACATTCTCTTCTGGATCGCCAAGTCTAAGAAGAGTTGCATTCCTTCTCCCCTCTCCCACATTTGTCTCAAAGGCACCCTTGTAAAGGAACAAAACAAAGGGACTATCTAAAGCTAGGCTAAAGACACACAGAACCCTCTGAACATTAGAGAGTCAGTAACATGGGGAAAACGACGTGTATGGAGACCAACAAATTGGGACTGACTCAACTCTGGCAAGCGAAACGAATACAGCCTATACCTGGTGCTTAATAGCAAGAGCTGGGAGGCTCCTGGCACCAAGCAGGAAACATTCAGCATTTCCTACAAACAGATCCCTTTTTCCAGCTAGTTTCTGTCTAAGGGTGATTCCAGGCTCTACTCCTCAAGTAAACAGGTGAAGTTCCTTACCATAGTCATGTAAACTCTTCTGCATGTAACATTCATCGCGGCTTCATTTGAGAGGGGTCAATAAATTACTATGTCCAGAAAGCTCCTTCAAGGGCTTGGAACTGTATTATTTGCCACGTTGCTCTAGAATTCCCAGTCATCCACCTCTAGCTGTTCCAGACTGGATACCAGTCCAAAAATGCCACTGGGATCCTGTGGCCGTGTACCTTCGAAGTTGGTGATTGGTGTGACAGGGCGCAATAGTTCAGGAAGTGCTTCGGACGCACGACGTTTGATCTGGAGGCGGAGGGAGAGTTAGTTTTGGTTTGAGCTGTTCTCAGAGGCAAAGGTTTTACGGCATTAGTACCATTCGCACCACATGTCTGACATCACAATATGGACTGGGCTAATAGCAGCAGCACAACATACCAGCTGGCCAGGGACGTCAGTCCGTCTAACCCAATCTTTTATTGCCCGAGTTAGGAGCGCTGCAGGGTTTGGCACTGTGCCCTCTAAACTTGGTGATAAACCTCCTCAATCTTTTTCTAGGGACATCTCTCTGCCAATTCAGAAACAGTGCTGATGGCACTCCGCCACTAGAAGAGGCCGGCAGAGTTTGGGGGAGGGCACTGCTGCCAGAATACCCCCTCCTCCACTGACCCCAGGACTTAATGAAATCGAAAAAACAAATTAGGAAGGGGGGCGGGGGGGAAGAGAAGGGAAATTCAATGAGATTTGAGTTCGGATTATAACCGGAGAAAAAAGCTAAGACGATTTTGTACAACTAGTAGGCTGCCCCCAAACATACCCATGCAAGCCAAGCTCTTTGAAACTTGGTCCTTCCTGGCTATAGGCGTTTAGCAAGAACCCCGGCTAAATGGTGCTTTCAGTGCTGAGCTATCCAGAGGGGAGGAGTCAACAGCAACGTCTTCCCACCCCCATCCTCAGAACTCTGCTCCCCACAGCTGAGGAAACGGCCCAGGAAGGGGTTACCACGGGAAGGCCACAGCCCTCTACCAGAAGATTAAATGAACCACTTTACCTGCTTGAAAAAGGAATGATTCAGCAGGGTGCTTGCACTTGGCCTGTACAAAAGAGAATTAGAAGGGAACGAATCACCATACAAGAGTTGAGTGTGATTAGCGTAAATGACACTGATCTTCTAACAGCTCTCCTCTGGGTCTTTACAAGCTCTTTACAAACACTCACCCGCTGTGAGATATAGGGCAAGATGATTCTTATTTTACTGAGTGGGGAAACTGAGGCACAGACAAGGGATGAGACTTAACCAAGGTCACATAGCAAACGAGTGGCGAAGGTTGGAACAGAATCCTGGTCTCCTGACTCAGGGCTGTACCTCGCCCGTTTATACGCCGTAGCAACTTTTATCCTCTAGGCATCCCCAGGGGGGTTGACAAAGGAAGGAGTTAAGTACCTTTGCCATTAGAATCTGCTTCACAAGAGGCAAAGTTGTTGGCCAGAATGACCAGGTTATCCCTAAAGATTTCTCAAAGGGCCATGGGATCTGTAGCTCCTTCCGTAAGGCTTGGTCCACACTGGGGCGGGGGATCGATCTAGGAAACGCAACTTCAGCTACGAGAATAGCGTAGCTGAAGTCGACGTTTCCTAGATTGAACTAAGTTTACTTACTGCGGGTCCACGCGGCGCAGGCAAGCTCCCCTGTCGACAGCGCTTCCTCCTCTCGGCGAGCAGGAGTTCCGCAGTCGACGGGGGAGCGCTTCTGGGATCGATTTATCGCGTCCAGATGAGACGCGATAAATCGATCCCAGAAGATCGATCTCTACCCGCCGAATCAGGCGGGTAGTGTGGACCTAGCCTAAGACAGCAGCATGATTGAAGACAGAGCAATCAATTAACTGAGAAGCCGTGTGATGCAGTTATCACAGGACAATCGCTGCCCTGTATACTCCTCTCCCCTGGACAGCGAAAGAAGCTATACCCGAGGACACAGCAAAAACTTCTGCGAGCCCAAATTATGAATAGTCTATTCTAGTTACAGAGAAGTTTACCACAGAGTAAGATGACAACACGGCCCTGGCTAACTAGAAAAGGAAATGCTGTTCTTGCTCCGTTCTCAGCTTTTATTCATTGAAGTCTCAAGCTGAGCTCTCCTGGTTGGATAATGAAACTGTTTCTGGGACAATGTGGTCTAGTGGGAATGCGAGTCGCCAATCCTGAGTTAGGCCTTGGCTACACTTACCGGCAAGTTCGGCGGCTGGAAATCGAACTTCTGGGTTCGACTTATCGCGTCTAGTCTGGACGCGATAAGTCGA